TAATTTTTACTGGCCCCACCAGACCAGTGTTAAATTGGATGACTGATACAAGTCATCTGAGATATTTAGGGCGGAGTTATCTTGCAGCATGAGGTGCATTGCTAGCTAACCATAGCAGACACAGTGGGAAAACCTCTGATACCGGCCTAGTCGAAATATCAACGCGATCAGAGCTACGCCCTGCCTTTGGGATTTTGACCATGTCAAAAATTATCTAAAAATCCCGTAGGTTAAAATATTTTGACTAATACCGGCCAAACACCTTTTGGTATTGGTTGCATGCTGGTGAAATTTTTCAAACCCTTAGCACCAAATAATTTCCCAATTTGTGGGCAGTATCTGAAGGTGACTCGATAGAAGTAGAATACAAGCTGGGGCACACATTAACGTTTTACACTGCACCTATGATCTTATGGTCTTTGGATGGACACCGTATGGATAGTGTAGGCCATAGGGTGACCATCGTCTAAGTAATAAAAAGCCCTAACCTGTGCACAATTTGTTGGGCTAGGGATGTATGGGGAGGGGTAGGGGGGGGTCTGTTTGCGAATGTGACAAATGACTATTTAATTTCAACACTTTCTTATTAGCTATAATCCTTTATACCTCACGCAAACCATGACTGACCGAACTATGTCATCGTCTGGGGCAAATAATTTATGATGGATTGGTGCAAACTTTTTCAGTTTGTTGATTCGAAAAATAAATTTTCCGCGCTTCATTTTGAATTTATTTCAATTTCAGGATATCAGTTGAAAAAAGGACCATCAGTAAATCGGTTTAATGGGAACTCGATGATAAACCAACACCTCATTGGAAAAAATTCACAATCATACCTTGCTTTCCATTTTGATGTTTATTGTGTCAATTTGTATTGCTTTTAAATTTGGAGCCTTGAGATAATACAACGTTTCTGATTGGATTATATCCTTTATGACAAGATCAGTGATTGGTTTACAATTTTTTTCAAGAACGATAATCAATAGCATTTTTTTCAGTCTCGGAGGCAATTACTTCCCCTGAACAAGATTTTGGTATTAAAGTACCAAAATATCTTTTCCTCATTATTTTCAGACTGACGTTTATATTTTATTTCTGTTTTTTAGATAACATACAGAATTAAGCTTGCCTTATATTGAGAACTTAACTTAGTTCCAGCGCATAGGTTTGAAGAAAGTCTTATCATGTTGCCATGTAAGTAAACAGCAAATACGTAGCAAGAAATGAAGTTTAAGATAATACTATTCAATTTACACTTTCTCTGAATAAACATGGGTGCACGTGGACTGTTGTTTTTTTAAATAAATATTATCAAATTTAGTAACTGATAAGATATAAAGGAGCCATATCTCACAATTGCAAAATGAAGTTAGTTATATTTCTAGACAAAGCCACGTTCAAATGTTACAAAATTTATATAATCTATTTCTTTTAAATACTGATTGTTGATTTCATCACGGACTTTAATTGACTTTTTAAATCCGTGATTTCATGCATATATAGTTCTGTTTACAGGCAATATCAAAAACAATCAGACATAGCTAGTGGTCCACTTAGTTGCATATGATGATCACTGGAACAGCATTTTCAAAACTAACGTTTACTTAAAATACATTCATGCACTATGTACGTACTGACATTATCAAACATGTTTTATTACATGTTGACAATAACATTTACAAATGTACATCTTCATTTGAAACATTGAAGTCGAAACAATTTGTGTAACCAAAATCTTGAAATTATTGTTTGCAACTAACGAGCATGTCTAAATGTCACATGATGCTGCTCATAAATTTATGTGAATGGAAAAAAAGGTTCTCGATCTATGCTTAAATTTAACAGTTTATCACACACCCGTGCCGATTTTGCGACTCCGTAAATATGGTATTGCACGGCCGTGCATATATTTTGACGTGACGTCATTAGCGTTATATACAGACGCGCTAAATGTTAACGTTATACTATAGGCGCGTCAATGTAAAATTACTCTTATTTCACTTTAAACGGTCTTTATTTTTGGTATGTGATAAATAGAATATTAAATTCGTGTAAGTTCATTACTGAATTTATTGCACTCGTTGAGGCTCGCATAATATAATTTTATTCAACTCGTGCAATAAATTCAGTATTGAACTTACACTCATTCAATATCCTCTATATACGGAATGATATGATTATTTCAAAGGACCCAAACAGTACTTTATTTTAAGTAGCCATTAAATTGCTGCATGAAAATTATATTGTGAATACTTTATTTATTTTTCTTTTCCTTATAAACATACCTACGTGATAAAAGTATATTTTAAAGAAATTTTGATAAAACGAACATAAAATTACATTTTATACATGCGGAAGGTCGGCAGTTCTACTCAGGTCCCTGTTCGTGCCTGGAATAATGCACAGGTCGTCCTCCGGGGCCATCGGTAAAATTAGAGGGGAGATGTGGTTAAGGAGTCTGTCTTTCAAAACAGGGATCATGTCTTCGAGCTAAAATCGGGTCATGAGCATGTTTCTTGATATGACCAGAACTGCATGGTTGGTTCCAGGAAGCGGACTCGAAAGTGATGATATAAGTTGCAAGAACTTGTTCAGCAATCGAGCTAAATTATATATGTTTAAACCAGTAATTAAAGCTAGACTGACGCCATATGAACTTTACAGTGTCCGTGTAGCTTAAATTTTCTCGTCGGTCGTTGCTTTTTCATGCTTATAGTGAATAGGGTTCTTTGCTAGTCCAACTAATTGTACTGCGCGACGAGATCGATATTGTGCTATTTTCGTGTCTGGGCAATATCTCGCCTCTACTATCGAGATTCTGCCCCAGAACGAAAATATCTCAGAATCAAGCTTTGGCAGGTCAATATATATTTTGACTAGGTTCTTTGCATAATGATTAAATTCGTTCCAGCCATTTGAATACGATAATATTGTGTTGCCCATTGTTTGCTCTTTTAGGGAAAACGCTTTCTTTTACTTGGAACCTGTAATACGCCGCCTTTCATGGAATGGCACGAAAGTGTCACATTGAAGATTCCATGATAACCGCCGTATGATGCGGATGTTTCTGAATTCAAAATTTTGCCATTTTCGTGTCTAAATGTTGAATTCTGCTTAAGTCGGTGCTAGAGGCCATGAACGGTACCTTGCATTTACATGAACAGGCTCAATCAAACCGAGCCTGCAACATTTTTATTTTGTCGTTTTGGGCGTCCTTTAGCGATTCCGTTTTCCCTATTCCAGTATGTTGATCAATGACGTTTAATTTTGCCTTATTTATCACTATTTTCTATTGCTTGACTAACGGACAGTAAATAAGGACTCTTTCTGGTAATTTACATTGATTGTGAGTGACTTTGCAATGTGTAAATTAGTTTCTTTGTCACTTCACACACTTAAAAAGTTATACTTTGAAATACATTTTTCTTTCTTTCCTAGGAGCATACGTCTTTGGAATAGCCTTCCCCTAACTGTTCAGTCTAGCCCAAGTTTAAACATCTTTACTGAGAGGCTTGACCCATTCTATAAATTCTAAACTGCACACTATGTTTTTAAATTAATAGTCTTGTAGAACTTTTATTCTTTTAACTTTTTAATTTGCATATAAATAAATTCTTTTATTAACAGTTCCCTGACAACGCGCCTGCTAGTCATAATCAGAATTTATTGTTAAGCAGTATGGTGTAGATGTAGATGTACATTTTCAAAATTTTCATATAGATAATCATGAATCTACCATGAAGGCAAGCTGGTTAAAACACGTCATTTAGATATACCTGACTTTCACTGTTTTTGTTGTTGTTGTTTTCAGATTTACGTTCCATGAACAGGTCAAGTAACGTATACTTTACACTCGGCAGAAATTAAATATACATTTTATAAGGAATTCATCACCCTCCTCTCTCCTGAATTAATGCATTACACCTCCTCACCGTTTATAAATTTTACAAAATATGCATTACATCAACTTAGAAATAGCTTTCAAAATAACTTTAAGTAAAAATGACACATGTACTCAACTGTTTTAAAGATAACTTATTTTTAGACCAAATTCTGGGCAGTGGGTTTGAGGGGAGGCGTGGGTGGGGTTGTATACATGTACTTACACACGTTCATGAAATTGATAGAAATTAAAGGTTGACAAATTAGATGATTTTAATTTTCCTGGAAAAAAGTGTAGACCAAGTTTATTCACACGGCACAAATATAGGAAGCTATATTGATATTTAGAACACTTTTGTCTTTTTGGAACGACTGTCCATCGATTGTTTATCTCTACTAGTACATGTATACATAAATGAAGGGCTGCTTTGAGCAAAATCAAACGCTTATTTCACACTGAGATGTATTTCTTTTATGAAAGTCTAGCTCAAATAAAGTGACATTTAAATTTTAAGATTGCATATCAATTTTCAAAGAGAAATACACATTTTAATTTTTGCTTTGATTCACAGAAAAACTTAAGATGTACATGAAAACATGACTTTAATTGCATGAAACCTTTATTATTTATGCCTTTTTTCTGACAAACTCAGATCATGTTTCGAGCACATCAACTTTATATTCTAGAGATCTAATTCAAATTATTGATTGTGAAAGAAAAAATTAAAAGACGTTTTAACTTGACTTATAATTTCCGATAACATTACTATAATGCGCCAAATTATATTTACCATAATGTACTACTTTGGCAATTGTATCTAGAATGGCAAGCTTATCAGTATATCGGTAAAGTATTAATAAACAATACATTGTATTACATATACAAATTAAATTTGGTCGAGGGGGGAAAGACATATCATGTAAGAATATAGTAAAATGTGATACATTTACAGGATCTTTTAAAAAGAAAGAAAAGAAAACCAAATTGGTGTGAATTGATGTGAATTCGATAATTTGTTATGATGATATATACAAAGATTCGGCTCTGTTGTCATTTTGACTTCTTTTTGCACACTTTACACAAATTATCCATAATCCTCTGACGATGACAACGTTTTCATTATTCGTCTGTAGTTTAGCGTAAATCAAACATGGCTGCGCCCATGGATCATGCGTCATTCTAAAACTTTTAACTGAGCATTCTACAAGTAATCTTTCAAGATACGTACTGTCAGCCGTTCAAAGTTGTTCTTATCATGCTGACAAACTTTAGCAATGGGTAAAATGAAGAAAAAGAAGTTTTCTGCCCCGAAACCTCGCCCAACTGGGCTTCCAAGCGTCGGGGAATTCGAGGCAGAGATAGAATTACAAGGAGACGTTCAATCTTCAACTCTTCAAACGATTGTTGAAAAAGTATGTACCGTTGAACTCTTTTAAAATACTTCTTATTGTTATTTTAAACAAAGAAACAATTGAAGAATATTTTGAGTTATGACTTATTATGTGTGAATTTTTCAAGATGAACTCTGAAACACTTTTGATGTTTGTACATATCAGTGTATTTTTCTTTTTTCATTGTAATTTTGTAACTTTTAAATTTACAGTGCACTGAAATCTGCACTAGTCTATTGGGGTAATTTTAGTCCAGTCCCCTGGCTGACTCTTAGTTTATATTACGGGTAGTCCTAATTAATATGAAATTAGGCAAAGCCTATGAACGGGGAAGTCGTTACAAATTCCTTTCATTCTTTCCGTTTTAAAGGTGTCATTCTGTATTTTAATACATGCACCGCTTCTGTTTTTAATCAGAACTCTCGACGATTATCATTTACCCGAAAAGTTGAGATTTGTTCCGTTATCGGAATACCCCGCCTATTATCATTGATTTACATGGTAAATGGCGGCGCCCAACTAAAACTGACACTGAAAATTTCATTGATAGGTATAGAATTCTATATATTTTTTAATTGTTTTTTATTTGATTTTCTTTTAAATATACATGTGTAGTCTATAGCCTGGCAAGCCAAAGCCGGACTTCCCCGTATAAGACCTATACGTAACCTATTTCATATTTATCATTCATTAATCTGATATTTTACATTTTTCATTTTCCATGTTACGTTAGGTCTTAACAGATCTTTGCAAAATCATGTAGCAAAAAAATTGACATTAGACATCGATTTAGATCTAATGCATTTAAACAATTAAAACAGCGTGTATTTACATTAATTTTGACCTATTTATGAACAAAACTAAAAAATAAATACCTTTTAACAAAATAATTGAACTGTCACATCCGAAAAGTCATGATTAAATCCTCTCATTTAATTAAATACCTTGTACAGCCGATATACAAATGGCCGCCATACAGTATGCGAAATCTGATTGGCAAATTCAAATGCAAGCGTTTAAATGAGTCCAGAAGTTTCTAACGGAATATTTTTTCAACGAAATAATTGCCCATGCACTGTCAGTGTGTTCGAATATATTTTTCCTTTCAAAAAATTGGAATCAATCTGTAAAAGGCTTTACTTAACCAGTATGGCGGATGAGCGAAATAGATTGATATTTATATTTTATTTTTAATTGATAAGTACACTGTTTGAAAGATTTTGTTAATGATAGACCATGCAATTGAAAGAACAGAAGATAGGCTTTTAAATAAAGCTTGAAAGGCAAGTCAACAGACATTTTTTTAATTTTTCAAAATGCTACGCGTTTATGAGCAATAACTATTAGATGTCAGGCTTGACCAACATAAAACTATATCAAGCCTGTAAAGTCTAATCTATTGGACTATATTACGGGTTGACTGTACACATGCTGGCTCCTCCTTGTATGTACAAATATGTGGTGCTCTTTGCATGTAAATGATCTTTATTGGTTTTATAATTGCACACAGTATATATTGTGGTCAGCAATGAGTCTGAGCTAAAATGACAGCTATATAGTGTCAGTGACATAATATGAAATAAGGCAAAGACTATGAACGCGGAAGTCGGTTGAAAGAATAGTTCATTTTCATTTTACATTTTCCGTTTTAAAAGTGCCATTCGGTATTTTATACACTACTTCCATTTATTCTGGTTCCCTGTCCTAATAATGTTTCCATAGAAGTGCGCTGGGGACCAGTACATATCCGTTTCCAATCAGAATTCCTCTGCTTTTATTGTTACCTTGTACATCGAAAAGTAGTGATTGGCTATTATGGGAATACACTGCCGTTTATCATTGCGTTACGGCGCCCAACAAGAAATGATACTGAAAATTTTGCTGATAGGTATAGAATTCTATTCATTTTTTTTCTTTTTAAATATACACATGTAGTCTATAGCCGGGCAAGCCAAAGCCTGGAGCAGCTTTGGGGCCCCAGGCTTTGACTTCCCCATATGATATTATATATTTAATGTCTCTGATAGTATAGCCAGATGATCACTGTATCACAGTTGACTTGGATATCATAATATAATATAAAGTGACATTATGCCCATCCAAGGGTATATAATGTGTAAACGGGTGAATATCAAAATAAGTTTTCATTTTGCCATAATTCCTTTTTATTTAATAATTAAGTTCGCATAAACAATAAATAATGCAGAGATCTCAACGAAATTTCTGTAAATATCTATCAGAATTTACATGTAACCTTAAGTTTATAAAAAGAGTGGGGCAGTCTTTTTAGATTTTAGGCAGTTTTATAATTATATTCAAAACTGAAATGATAATGCCATGTTTGAATATCATATTCTTTTTATCATAAATAAATCTAATTTTATCTACATAATAAATAACGTGCCAATGAGCCAGTCTATAGTCGATCGTTCTAAAACTTAACCGTTAAAGAGGTTACGACTAAGGCAGTGTCACTTACTTCATTTGCTCCGCCTCTGTTGAAGTTCGGCTCCACCTTAAAGCTGCACCCCTCCAGATGAGAAAAATGTATTAAGACTTTAGGAAAAGTAAAAAGATTCAAAATTCTAGTAAAAGTTTACATGTTATGTGCGATCAATGACCTATTTTTCAGCATTTATAACTATATTTCTACTGCGTTACTAACGCAGTAAGGGCTATTTTTGTATATTTTACCCTCTTTTTGGTATTTTACACGGGTTGGAAGTGCCATTGATAATGTGTAAATTGCATTCTTTTGATAACTTTACAATAATATACTTTTAATTACATTTTCAAATTTTCATGAAAATTAGCATGAATCTGGAGGCGTTCTGCTTTAAATTGTCGCAAAAAGTTAAAATGATGCTCCGTATGAAAACATTTAGTCTTCGTTGACGGGACAGAAGGGAACCAGGACAACTTTGATCAATATCACTTGTTGAATCATTAAATTACAAGTCACAAAGCCTAAACCACGCCCATTATCAGAGAGGTGGTTCTTCCGCAACCGTAAACTCGTTACGCTACGGCCAGTAAGGGGAGATCACTGCAGAACAGTTTGTCCTCAAAAATCATTCGAACATTATGCAATTCGTACCAATATTTCAATGGATATATTCTCGGCACATATTGTCTTCAATTCATTTTAAGTATACCAATCATTTCAGTTTTACTTGTTATCCAATTTATTTTGCTTAGACCAGACGTTTCAATCTTTGTCGCAACAGAATAACATTTTAGAACTTCAGACATGGCATTACTTTGTGAATTTATGCATTAGGTTCTACTTTTTCACAAAAATATGCAATATGCATATTATTAAACAACGAGCACATACAAAGAACATGGAGAAAAAATTGATTTGTGCTTCGGATATTCAACTGTAATAGAGAACATTTTTAATGCTGATTGACTGTTCACATCATTTGGCGGCGTCTTTGATGTGCAGCATCAACATTTACATTGTTATATACTTTGACATGATGTGAAGTCGTGAACCGCATTAGATGAAAGGAAAAATGTTTAAAAAATGGCTTATAAAGTTTTGGAAGTCAAGATTAGAGAAGAAGTATAAGAACAGTTACATGATTTAATGTTGTACAATTTGTGAGTTGCCAGGTCTAAAGCATGGATTGGATCACCAACTGGCTGGCAATACACAGCCTTAATACACAATGTCTGATGAATGACTGACTACAGATTTTCATCTAAAATTGTTCAATATTAATTTTAATTATTATTTCATTTCAGTTGCAAAGTCCTAATGAAGAGAATAGAGAATGTGCATGTACAACTATTGCCGGGTTGGTGTCTCACCCTGGTACCTTGTCGGCTCTTCTGAAACTAAATGTCATCAAGATACTAGCACCACTTGTATTAGATCACAACTGGGACATCCGTCATAGAGCTCTTGGTGCTCTTAGGTAAGTTATGCAGGGTTTTCATTATTAACAGATTGGGGATCTATATCATCGGTTGAAATGCTGTTAAAATCGGTTGTATTTTCAGCCTGTAAGTTAAAATATCACTATTGACCCTTTGACAAATCAGTTTCATTGGCACATCTGTTGCCGCATATAAAAATAAAAACCCTGGGTTTGATAGAGTTGTAATAACTCTTGCAGTACATTCAATGTGATAAAGGTGTGTATTGAGAATCATAACACATCTGTATTCGAAAACTGCATAGCAACATCTCTCTATGATAATTTGTATAATTGTTGGAAGTAAGTAGATTGTTGACAGTGTCACACTACATATATTTCTGGATGATTTTATAAACTTAATCATGTATGGTTAATTTTTTTTTCTGTGACAGTTGCTCTCGGACATTGATTTAAATCATCATTTGTCTCTCAGTGCTAATTAAGAAATCATTTGGGATTAGTAGTCAGTCACTTGCAAAGAAATTGGTAATTACTGGTTAGTTACCCAGGAAAACTGATTAGGTGGATTGACTGCCAAAATATCATCAAAAACGTGTTTAAAAATGGGTGTTAAAACCCAAAAATCAAATAATCTTCTTTGTGTTTTAACAGGAACTTGAGTGTGGATGGTGGTGTGTCAACATGTGAGGAGATGGTAGCTAAAGATGTGTTAACACCAGTACTAGCACTTGTACAGCAAGTTAGTATTTCATACTGTATTATAAATACATTTTGGGTCTTGGTGGCCTAGAGACTTTAAGATCACTTGCCCCTTACTGCTGTGGGTGTAAATCCCACTGATGACTTTGGATTCTGTTATGTGATGAATCTGTCCAGCAAGCTTGTAGGCTGAAATGTTTTAGCCAAATAAAAGCCTGTAGGTATCCTTGGACATTGGAAAAGCTGTGATTTTTGGTCATTGAAACATTTTTGAAATTAAATCAGTTATGGGGTTTTCATGGCTGAGTGGATAAGGTTGCTTACCTCAAACAACTTGCCCTTCACTACTGTGGGTTTTGAATCCCAACAAGGAGTTTTGATTCTTCATGCGAGGAAGCTATCCAGCTAGCTAATGAATTGTTGGTGGTTCTACTCAGGTGCCTGTTTTTGCCTGAAATATTGCATGGAAGGACACCTGTGGTATTCCTTCACCAATATAGCTTGAATGATGCCATATGACTTATACTGTGTTGATGCGACAAAATTCCTAACCAGAAAAAAAGGAAAGAAGAAAGAATCAGTTACAATACAAGAACATATATATAGTCCTGAAAATTTAAAATTAACTAAACTCTACCTTTAGACTACCACTGTTTTACATTTTCGTAAGAATCATTGAAGAACACTGTAGAGGTTATAGATTATATAATAAAATGAAGGTATGCATATTTACACTTTTAGTTTGGGAGTGGTGACCAATTTTCGGAGAAGGAGTCACAGAGGAGGAAAACGATGATTTGTGAAACATACGCTCATGCATTCTATCTACTGCAGAATCTATGGTATGATTTTTCATCAAAATTTTGTGTCTGTAAAAAAAAAAATCTCAACTGTCATCTCAATGAATGTGTAGAACACATTGTTTTTGCTAGCTCTCGGAAATATTTTTATTTTGACTTAGATTAAAAAGACAGTTTATTTCATTTTTTTTTCAAAACAGTTGCAATTTAGATGATGTGTTAAAGAACGTTTTTTTCCCTAGATACATGTAATAATAATTTGAAGATTTTGTTTTTTAAAAGTCAGAATGTGTTTCGTTAAAACTCGCATTAAAAAATATTTTGATGGAATATTTTGGTACACAAAGAATGCTTGTGTCATTTAGTATGGTAGTAAGTTTTGACAAAATTATGACACTTATTTTTCTATTCACCTTAATTCTAGTTTTTTCTATTCACCTTAATTCTAGTTTATTGATTTTGTTTTATATCTTAGTGAAAACAGTAGTCAAGCTGTGACAACATTTAGTAATGGAGACCTGATTCCGGTAGTTTGTGTAATACTGGACTCTGAATGTAGCACCGAGGAGCTCAAGCTTGCTGTTGGTATGTATACATGTACTAGACTTTATTGATAATCCATTTGTCTTGATAGGCAAAACATGTGTTTGATATTGTGATATATCAGATGATGAATATGTTGGTGTGACCACAGGTGTTAGGCATGTTGATTGGTCACTGCCCCCCAACCCCCCTCAAAAAAAAAAATGAGATCAAGACATATATTTAGCAAACTAAATATAATATAAGTAAGTATACTAAATATATATGTATCTTTAGTTTAATTTCCAATTTTCAACTTGTGTTGCACATAACTCAAAAAATATTTGACCTAGAGTCATGAAACCTTAGTTGTGCACCTGTGTATTTTCGTGTGGATATTTTTAGTATTTTTAGAGTTATTGCCCTTGACTTAGTAAAAATTTCCAATTTTCAACTTGTGTCGCACATAACTAAAAAAGTATTTGACCTAGAGTCATAAAACCTTTCAAGAATGTTGCTCAGCATGTGTAGTTGTGCACCTGGGTATTTTCGTGTGAATATTTTTATGTGTACCTATGCACCTTGGGGTTTTCTTGTGGGTTTATTCAATATTTGTAGTATTTGCCCTTTACTTCATAAAAGATTTTTAGTTTTCAACTTGGGCACATGTAGCCAAAAAATTTTTTTACCTAGAGACATAAGATTAACAAATTGGTGGAGTGTGGGGGCACCCGTGTCCTATGGACACATTTCTAGTTTGACCTTATATGGTAATTTACATGTATTGGAAGTGCAATTTGCAATGTGTAAATTACTTTCTTTGTTTACTTTTAAAGTTTTTAATGCATGTTTAAAATTTTCATGAAAATTAGCATGAATCTCAAGGCATGCTGCTTTTATTTTCAGTTGAGTTCTTATATACAGTAACAGAAGATAACAGTGCTTTGTGTAGACGAGATTTGGTAGACTGTGTCCAGAAGCTGATGTCACATTCAACAGACACCTCTATCAGGATGCTTATAAAAACACTGTCATCAGGTGAAATAATAGCAAACAATACACATGGGGTGTTTGAAAAGGTTCCTGACAACCCTTGTTACTTTTTTTTATTATCCCCCGCCAAAAATTTTCGGCGGAGGATATAGAAATAGTCTCCGTCCGTCTGTCCGACCTTCCGTCCGACATTTTTGTCCGGAGCATATCTCTAAAAGTATTTGAGTTATCAACTTGAAACTTCATAGGTGGATAGACCTCATTGAGGAGGAGTGCAGTGCACAAGAATGATAACTCTACCTTGCATGATTTTTGAGTTATTGCCCTTTGTTATTTTTCAAAATTGATTTTTGTCCAGAGCATAACTCCAAAAGCCTATGAGATATTAACATGAAACTTCATAGGTGCATAGATCTCACTCAGGAGGTGTGCAGTGCACAAGAAAGATAACTCTACCTTTCATAATTTTTGAGTTATTGCCCTTTGTTATTTTTCATACCTAATTTTTCACCTGAGTGGAGCATAACTCAAAAAGTGTTTGAGATATCAACATGAAATGTCATAGGTGGATAGATCTTATTGAGGAGGAATGTTGTGCGCAAGAATGATAACTCTTTCCTATACAATTTTTGAGTTATTGCCCTTTGTTTTTTTTTTCATGCTATTTTGTCCAGAGCTTATCTCAAAAAGTATTTGAGGTATCAACTTGAAACTTCAAAGGTGGATGGATCTCATTGAGGAGGAGTGCAGTGCTTAAGAATGATAACTCTACCCTGCATTATTTTTGAGTTATTGCCCTTTGTTATTTTTCAAAATTAATTTTTGTCCAGAGCATAAATCAAAAAGCCTTTGAGATATCAAAATGAAACTTCATAGGTGCATAGATCTCACTCAGGAGGTGTGCACTGCACAAGAATGATAACTCTACCTTTTATAATTTTTGAGTTATTGCCCTTTGTTATTTTTCATACTTAATTTTTCAATTCAATTTTTTTCTCAAAAAGTATTTGAGGTATCAACTTGAAACTTCATAGGTGGATAGATTTTACTGAGGAGGAATGCAGCACACAAAAATGATAACCTACTCTGCATTATTTTTCAGTTATTGCCCTTTGTTATTTTCAGCCATCAGTATTCACATAGGTTTCAAATCTGTAATCACTATAGCCATCAGTTTTCATTACCAAAAGACCTCTTAAAATGGAGTTATGCTGCTCTACTACATATACATTCTTCCAATGAGCAAACACATTCGGCGGGGGATGGCCATGTTGACATGGCTCTTGTTCACTCTTTATATGCAATGTCTGTTGAGGAGCTCTTGTTGACTATGTATACAAGTCAACATACATTACGTCTGCTTAGCTCAATAGGGAGAGCATTAGATTTTATATCCAGGGGTTGCTTGTTTGATCCTCAAAAAATACATAGATCTCAAATATTGAGTCAAATGGTCATTTGTATCTCACCACTGATTCAGAAATCATGTCGGATAAGCAGTCTGTCACTTGCGGAGAAATTGGTAATTACTGGTTAATTATCTAGAAAAGCTGTTTAGGTGGGCTGATTGCCTGAGATGACAAAAAGAGTGTGTTGAAATTGGCATTAAAAAAGCGAAAACAAACAAGAATCTGACAAGATAGTATGACTTGAATATTTAAATGAAAGTGCTGAAAACTATTTAATATGTCAGGAGGGTGTAAGTGAAGAAGCTTTATTGTGTTAAGCATATTAAAAGTTTCAATAAATTGTTCAGTCTTAGGAAATAGATCTTTTATATGATGAAGTAGTATTTCTAATTCAAAAAAAAAAAAATCCCAGTCAGCAAAATTATTTCTGTTAATTCTATAGATACATGTTTTGTCTCTGAAATCCATTACATTGATACATGTATTATATTGTCATTAAACTAGGTGTTCTTGTTAATCTGGAGGGAAGTCAACTATCATCTGCTCGCGGTGACCTCGTCGTTCCCATAGTTACCACAATGTCTGAAGTACTAGGCGTCAATGTGCCAGCCATGTTGATCCCTGTAGATTCAGAGGTGTCGGACATGCAGGCTTCCACTGAGGGCAGTGATATCAGTCCCGAGGGGGAAGGTGACACTCCAGAGGACAGTGAAAAAGAAAATTATGTAAGTTGATCATCCTGAATTAATATGTTATATTTTTGATATGTTGTATATTTGTGCTCTGATTATACGGATTTGCTTATATCAAATATCTGTACATATTTTTCTGCATCTAATGCATTATCACATGCACAAATACTACCTGACAGGAAAAAAATCCTGTATCATACTCGATTGTGACACACAGAATGACATGGCTTGCATTATGCCAAATATGTTACGGTTGTAAATATTTAGTTAATTTTTTTAAATTCGACAAGGTGTATATAGTGAAAGGGTTATAACAGGAGCACTTGATCTATAACTTGTATTTGACTCTCATGAAGTATACTGCATTGTAGAATGGATCATACTCGACATTACTGCGTCTCCTAGAAAAATCTACCCTAGTCAAATGCAAGTCCTAGATCAACATACTGCTATAATAACTCTATTTTATCTGTATATCCTTACAAATTTCCTCAAAATTATTATGCTCTGCAATTAAATGACAGGCAGGTACCAACCTCTAAAAAAATATTTATTTGAATACCATTTTGTGTACATAATTAGGTTTTTATGCTCCCCGAAAAATTTCGGGGGAGCATATAGTCGGCGCCTTGTCTATCCGTCCGTCTGTCCGTCCGTTGTCTTGTCCGGAGCATAACTTGAAAACCCATGGAGATAATTTGTTGAAACTTCATACACTGGTAGAGGGCATTGAGGGGAGTGCAGTGTCAAAGAACCATAACTCTATTTTGCCCGTTTTTTTAATTATCTCCCCTTATAGAAAAATCTTGTCCAGGGCATAACTCTAAAACTATAAGAGATATCAACATGAAACTTTGCAGGTGAAGAGATCTCAATGGGTAGATGTGCAGTGCATAAGAACAATGACTCTTTTTGTCCTAATTTTGGAGTTATTGCCCTTTGTTAATTTTAACACTTTGAACTTTGTCCGGAACATAACTCTAAAACTATAAGAGATATCAAGATGAAACATTGTAGGTAGATAGATCTCATTGAGTAGAGGTGCAGTGCAAAAGAACCATAACTCTGTTAAGCCTCATTTTTGAATTATCTCCCCTTATAGAAAAAAAATCTTGTCCGGGGCATAACTCTAAAACTATAAGAGATATCAACATGAAACTTTGTAGGTAGATATATCTCAATGGGTAGATGTGCAGTGCACAAGAATCATAACTCTGCCTTGCCTAATTCTGGAGTTATTGCCCTTTTACTTTTTGAAGTTGTCCGGGACATAACTCGGAAATCATAAAAGATATCAACAAGAAACTTGGTAGGTTGATAGATCACATTGATTAGAAGTGCAGTTCAAAGAACAGTAACTCTGCCTTGCCTAATTTTGGACTTTAAACTTTTTCCAGGGACATAACTCTAAAACTTCATGAGGTGTACTTTCCTGTGTCCAAAACCTTTTCGGGGAGCATCACCCGGCTCAAACCGGGCTCTTGTTTTTATGTTTTAGTTAAACACACATTTATTTAACAGGTGACATCTGCTGAGGAGAAGACATTATGTGATATTAAGAATTTTCTGAAGGCACAGAAGGTGGCATTAGAGGTTGTAGCCAATTTATGTTGCACTGATGGTATGTTACCTTCACGTGATCCTAATTACTCATTTATTTGAATATTCAAAGATCAGTGCATTTGAAACTATTTGAAAATGGATTTAACATACATTTGTTTTCTAGATTTTGTTAGTTTCTCTGTAAGACATGTATGACAAAAGTATTTAACTTAATGACATTGGGTAAAAGTACATCATATGGGGGTATTTGCTGACAGAGGGGATTATATTGTAGTGCCCCTTGAGTCAAGACTTGGTAAGGTAAGGTTTGGTTGTATTGGTGTCTCATAACAAAGAGAATGTCTAAATAGCCTCCTCCTTCTATGCAGTTTGCATAAAGGGATAGTTTGTATTATTTTAGGTATGGAGGATACATTTTTGTTTTTATGTAAGATGAAATTTTATTTCATTGAGTGAGCTTCAAAAACTGTATTCTCATGAGTGGGGTAGCTCCTTAAATTTAGGTGTTTACTACACAATACTTTTGCAAATGAAAAGGGAAAACTTCGTGTAAAATGAATTTAAGAGGAAAACTGCATGATTTTAAAGAATTTTCCTTATGTAGAAGCCGCCCTTAAATGGCCCCTGATGGAAAAAGCCTTGTTTGTAAATTTATATGGTTTTCATATGAAATTGTTGAAAATCTTTTTCTTTATTAGATGATGAATGGGAAGATTTAAATAGCAGCGAGTCCAGTGCTGAAGAAAGTGCTGAAGCACCAATGGAGGAGGATGTAGCAGAGAGTAATAGTTCATTTACACCACTTTGTGTATCTACGGAACTACACTCAGCATATGTTAGCTGTGGAATTGTTGAGAAAGTGAGAATTTTTACATTGCCATGTATCGGTGTAAAATGAAAATACGAACACATTTCTATTATATGATTTGAATAACATGACTGTAACATGAACTTTTATTTCACTTGGAAATACAAGATTTATAGAAAAAATATGTACCGAACAGTACTTTATTAGTAATTCATTTTAGTTCAATTGTGTAAGAAACCATAAGGTCTTAAATCAATTCCTGGAACCAACCAATACTGAGCAATCTGTGTAAAATTTCCTTGTTAAAGGAAACAACAGTTAGTTTGCTAGTGATAGTTAGATTTCTAGTCTGACACATAAACCACTTGACTATGCCACCACGGTCGACAGTGCTTAACATATAAGCAATGCATTTGCTCCCTGCCTGTCTGTCTATAGGTCCTTCTTTAGCATATATTTGATAACCAACTTAGATTTGCACCTAATTTTGTTCATCTAAAATGATTGTCACCTTTTCTTTTTGAAGTATTTCTTCAAAGTCAACTGATATTTTTATTTGAGTTTTGTCATAAAATGCCATGCCTCTGTCTGTGGGGCTCTTATTTAGATTTTACCTTCTGCTGAAATGCATATATTAATATTTCAGGTGTTAGAATCAGCCCAGCCATTGTCAGCTGAACAGTTAAATATTTTACAAGAGAATAAAATTCTTCTTGAAAGGTAAGCTGTAAGTTTTCTGTATGATGATAAAACATTTGTCCCAATTTAATTTAGGCCATGACCATATATAGATAATATACGAGGGTTGTTCGGGAAGTTCTGAGAATTGTTTTATAGCACACGTTAGTTAGTCGGGTTAGCGTAAATATAAATGTATACGCATTTATTTCAATATATACTGTACAGTATCTGAAAATGTCATCATCATACACACAGAAACTAAAACATAATAAAAATAGTAAATAACCATATAACAAACACCCGGAGCACGCCGACATCATTTGCAACGTTATGCGACGTTAAAGTCCATCGATCGTCGCACCTTTTGAACGTAGTCACCTGCAATTTCGATGCATTTCCTGTGTTGGCTGATCCACTTATTGTATGTTTCCACGTACCAGCTATCAGTAAAGGACGAGACTATAGCTTGCGTATGCTTAACAAAATCGTCAGCTGAGTCAAAGCGTTTTCCACGCAGCTGTGATTTGAGCTCCGGGAACACACGGAAGTCCATCGGAGCGATGTCCGGGCTGTATGGAGGGTTTCTTCCTTCTTTAAAACGAGCATGCCATCTATACACTGTAGCTGGACTGCATTTCTTGTATTTTCCTGTAGAATTGATCATTTTCATTGTTTCTGTGGAAGTCTTTTCCAGCGCAACACAAAATTTCACGATGCTTCGCAATTCAACGTCACCTATCGACGTCATGTTGTTTACTCAGTGGCTCTGGGCAACAACTTTTAAACAATGTTGATCCGTTGAGAATTTAAATAACGTTATGATATTTTCAGGAAATGACGTCATGACGTTCCGCTGCTGACCAGCGTTTTCGCGCATTTTTTACGTTATCAAAATTACGAAATATTATTAGTGTAGCGTGTTTTACCTTTCTTTAGAGTCGGACTGCTCCGGTGCGGCGTTATAGTGTTGCTATGGTTACTGCTATTTCCGGCTATTGTTGTCTGATTCTATTCAATTTTTGGGAATAGTTCCATGATGTGCTAATCTTAGTATGTGCAAAATATTACGTCTTAGAAACAAAAAATATAGGAGATATGACAAAATTCCCAGAACTTCCCGAACAACCCTCGTTCAAGAAGGTCTTGACAAAATCTTTCGTTTTTGGAAAAAAAAACGTTTTTTTTTATTTAGGAAAAATTAGGACCCTGTCTTAAAAGTGATCCTTCAAATAGGTGAGTAAATAGGGTAGATGGATATTTTATTTAAGGCCATGCAGGAAGCTTTATTATCTACCTATTACCATTGACTTAAATCATGTTAGAAACATTCTATGTTTGAAAACTGTCTAGCAGTCTAAAATAGGGTTGATGGTACTACTTATTTACCTGCTTGTGAATGAAATAGTGCACAAAGGGCACTTGCATAGGCTAGAAAAAGACTTTTAGTCGTATATATCTTATACTAATCATACAGTATTAAATATTAAATAATTGAAAAAAAAACTTATTTATTTTATATAATCATTTTCATTTTTTCTTAAAATTATTTTGGCCAGTTTTAAAGAGATAAAGTTATTCTGATTTTTCATTAACCAATTTTTTGAAATCCAAAATTTACTTTATTGAAGTTGTATAATAAATTTGTTTTTTTCCCCTAGATTTCAGAGTAAACAGACCCATGCACTACTATGTTTAAACAATTTAGTTAGCTCCTTAGATACAGAGGCCCTTGGAGGGAGTCAGAAATTGTATACAGTATGGCAGGGCCTCCTGCAGCTTTCTACATCTCAGAAAAGTAAGTAGATGATTTGTCTCCCTTGGTTTTAGTTATTTGATGTTTGAGTTATTTCTTATAATCAGGTTAAAACTTTTCAAAATTTAGAAATGGTGCAACAGTATACTCGCACTTCAGACTCTCTTGATACATACTGTGGTACAGTGTTTTCTAATCACTTTTGAATACAATTTTTATCAGGTATGGCATTTCAGGCTTAGCCGTATTGTTCCAACCCTACATATTTATGGCCCCCTTCAAAAAAGTGGGGATATACATGTATTGCTTTGTACATTGGTTGGTCAGACGTTCTAACAAGACAGTACTTAAGTGGTTACCACATTGTTCTCTCTATTGTTCTTTTTACTTACATAAAGGAAAATAGCTGCAGGAAAGCTTAAGGAACTAATGACATAAAAGACAAAGTACTGTTACCCATTGTCCCTGTAGCCTAATAAGTATCATAATGTTAACTCGGTGTGTCGGTCAGTCCGTTCGTTCAAAGACTAAAACGTTTCAGATCAATAACTTTCGAACGCCTTGGCCTAGGAATTTCAAACTTGGTATGGCGATTGGTCATGACCTGTGGATGAACCCTTTGTTTTTCGGGTCACTAAGCTTAAAGGTCAATGTGGTCAAGTTCACATTGACTATATCAAAACAGTTTCTGACCCATTACTTGACACACCTTCGCCCTGAAACTTCACAGGTTCATTTGTCTTTGGAAAGTAGATGACCTCTATTCATTTTGTAGTCAAAGGTCATGGTCACATTTACCTTTTATATGAAAACAGCTTCCAACCAATAACTGGACAACCCATGAGCTGTAGGCCCTCAAACTTCTAGACTCAATAGTCTAGGTCACATTCACCTTGCATGTTAAAACGGTGACAACAATCTTACATGCAAATGAAGACAACAGTTCAAACCACTGAGACAAAGAATTGAGTCCCTGTAAAAGGTTGGTTTTATAATAACTGGGTAGTTGTGCACTCATGTGTAACTAACAACACACATTTCTAGTTTTTCAGTAATATGATATTGTGTTTCAGGTATGGAAGAAGAAGAGGTGTTAGAAGCTGTGACAGCGGCTTTAAGAGCTGTGATACAGAAATTAGCAGAGGCTGACCCCTCCAAGGTACTGTGCATTCACTAGATATCTTGGGCATGAAATTTTGTGGTTTTGTCACAAAGAAAATTTTTTTGGGTTCTTAAATTTGTGGACTGCTTATTTTCCAAAAGGTAAAATGTAAATAATGTGATGCAAATTAATCTTACAGCAGACGAGCCTATATGACTGAAATACTGTTGGGAAAAGGCGTAAAATGAAATAAAATACAGCAGACAAAATGAATTTTGTTGGATGTTAAATTTGTGGATTGACCTATCCATAAAAACCATGAAAATTAGTTCCCCACGAATAAATAATACTGTTTTTGCAGTACCGTATGTTTAATAAGTTTTATGATATCACTTAACAGCCTTCTTTCTCCATCCTTTTCATAAGTGTTTACCTAAAAAAAGTAAATGTTTAAACATAGCTGCTTGTAGCTGATGATCCAAAATTGATTTCAGTTCCAGGAGGTGCAGGCAGGAGATCTACAGTTCATGTACGAGATGTCAACAAAATGTCAATGGCCCGAGGTCAGGGTCAATGCATTACGTATTGTATCAACTATAGGAGGCATATTGGCTCAAAATACTAACCCACATCCATTGCTCAAGGTATACCAAGTTATATTACTCTACTTTGGTATCAATCATTGGATTTTACAATATCTGATAAAAAAGAAAGAAAGAAAGAACAAAAACAGTAAAACTAAAAATGATTGTAGCATAATAGTTCACAACTTTTTATCATTTTTCCATGTTTTAAGAAAATCCAAGCTGCATCATATTCATTAGACATGGTTAGGGCTCTAAAGTTTATTCATTGACCTTTAATAATTATGTAAACCATCTGTATAGCTTCAAAGTCTGAACTTTACATAGATTCAGTTTTACTTGGCGATACGTTATTAGGTACTGTAAATCAGAAGTTTTACTTGGTGATACATTATTAGGTACTGTAATTCAGAAGTTTTACTTGGTGATATATTATTACATGTAGTTATTGTAATTTTAGAGGTGAATAAGAACAATTTAAGATATGTTGTTCAACTAATAGAACCAAGACAATTGTTATGTTATATGCTTTCAGGATATTGGGGTATTATTTCTAGAGGTTGTGTGTAAAGACTCGGATCTATGGGTAGTGGCAGAATCTCTGGACTCGATATTTGATGTATTCGGTGAAGATCACATTGACCCGGTGCTGAAAGAGATCGGACTTGTTGATAAATTGAAGACTATTGCACCTGCTCTAAAATCAAAGGTACTGTAAAATTTCTATTAAACACTCCTGTAGTGTTACTATTAAAGGTTAAATACAGTCGAGACTGTCATATGTGACTTTCCAAGGGATATTCAGAAAAAGGTCGCATATGACAGGGAGTCTCTAAATACAGTCTCAAAGAAAATCATCTAACTGTCTATAGACCAATGTGACTTAAAGATCCTGTATGTTTTGTTATTGATATTGTTACTGTTACGTTCTTGCAAAAAAAATATATATGGATATAATTATGCAAATAAAACAATTTTCAAACATCAAAGAATATGTAAAATGTTTACTGCAAATATTTGTGCACATTACATTTAATCAATAAATTACATGCATTGATTTCTTATTGGAAAATTTGACTTAGAATTTACAGAAAATAAAGTTCTAATTACCTCCCTTTAATGGCCTTTATTTACATGGGTGATATCTTTCTAAATTATGCTTATTTGAACTTACAATATTGACAAATGTTAATTTGAGCATCATATTTATGTAATAAAACCGTGAAAACATTGTGTTACAGGATCTTTACTGTAAACATATCCACATCCAAAGCTTTTTCTGGTTTGGTATCAATATTTTTTCCGTATTAATTATGCAGCCATAGAAAGGTAAATTAAAAAAAATGCTGCCTAAAAAATCTTCCGTGGGCACTCTATAATTAAATAAAAAAATCTAACACAAGTCTTAACCCAGTTTACTCAGGCCATTATACATAACACACATCGATTGCATAAGCTTCCCATGAACAGACGCTACGTCACTTGGTACCTGCATGTATCTACATGCTAACTGTGTAATTGAGATAGAGGTGTGTAGACTTTGTTTGCTACAGTGCTGGATTATAATTGGACTTAATTATTTTGGCCCTGTGGGTGTTAGAATAGGTATTCTTTATCTGATCAACGGACAATTAAAAGGTGTGAAAGTCGTTTAAATCAGACAAAACATTGCATTGGGACCAGACAATTAGGGTCGGTTGTCACATATGACAGGGAGTCGTTTAATTCAGACCATTTATATAGGAAAATACGTTGGGAGTACTGAAACAAGGTCGGATAAGACAGGGAGTCGTTTAAATCAGGGGGTCGCTTAGGCAGGCTCGACTGTATGTTATTTTCAGATAAATTGTTTCATAGAATCGTCAAATCAAAAGAATTAAGGTGGAAAATCAAATTTGCTGACAATAGATTACATAAACAATTAGGAAACCCCTTGATACATCCATCCTACCGGTCTGCTATCTATATTTCAATAAGTAAAGCAGGAAAGTTGCCATAAGACCATAAAAAAACCAAAGGAAATCTAAAAACAAAACGTTAAACATAAAATTACATTAAACAAAAACATTAACATATAATTACTCAAAACATATTCATTTAACATGTAATTACATTTAATAAATACATTTTACTACATTAAAGATATACATTACATTTAATGTATACATTTTTCTTTGTAACTATAGGTTCAACAGAACAGGAAGTCTCTAGGAGAACATTACCCGGTCATCTCAACAGCTCGTACAAACCTCATACGCTTCATCAAATATAAAACCTCACAGATGAAATGACAAACTATCTCATAAAAACCAAGTAATGCTGACAGATGGTGCTAACATAATCTAGTGAAAAAAAGGAGCATGTGTCTGTCTAATATTTTCGTGTCATTTTTTTAAAACATTTTTTTTCATTCCAAACTTCATATTAGAAGGAATTAAAGCCAAAGAGTAACAGATCTGGATGTGTCTGTTTGTTATAGATGTTTTACATGTCAGAGGTTTGTTTTGCCAATGGTTGCGAAGTTTGGGGATATGATTGTTTAAATTAGAATGTCTTGTTTCATTGTATTAGAAAGACTGTATGATAGTGGAGGGAGATATGATGTTGAAAGAAATGCACTTGTGCGATTGTGTTAAGAGATAGAAAGTTGTTTTCAAAGATAGTTTAATGTCAAGGTAAAGTATGTTTCCATATGCTGTCTTTCATGTTTTGACTATTTTAGGATGGTAGTATTGGATGGGTTTTTGTGTCGCCAGACGACATATAGGGGTTACTTTTGTCTGCGGCGGCGTCGTTGTCGGCGCTGGCGTCCCCTTAAGCTTGTCCGGAGCATAAGTCAGTCATTATAAGTCGGATTGACTTCAAACTTGGTATGCATGCTTCTTATAATGACCTAAATTGCAGTGCACAAGAACCGGTACTCTGCGCTTCTTATTTTTTGAGTTATTGCCCTTTGTTAATTTTCATACTTCGTTTTTGTCTAGGCCATTTCTCCTTATGCATCAAAAGCTATGGACTTGAAACTTCATACGATGATAGATTTCATTAAGAAGAAGTGCAGTGCACAGGAACCAGTACTCTGCATTTCTTATTTTTTGAGTTATTGCCCTTTGTTAATTTTCATACTTTATTTTTGTCGGGCCATTTCTCCTAAAGTATAAAAGCTATGGACTTGAAACTTCATAGGATGATAGATCTCATTAAGAAGAAGTGCAGTGCACAAGAACCTGTACTCTGCATTTATTTTTTGAGTTATTGCCCTTTGTTAACTTTCATACTTTATTTTTGTCCAGGCCATTTCTCCTAAAGTATAAAAGCTATGGTCTTTAAACTTCATAGGATGGAAAAAGTGCAGTGTACAAGAACCGGTACTCTGCACTTCTTATTTTTGAGTTATTACACATTATAAATTTTCATACTTTATTTTTGTCAAAGCTATTTCTCATAAATTGTAAAAGCTATGGACTTGAAACTTCATAGCATGATAGATCTTATTGATAAAAAGTCAGTGCACAGAAACTGCTGCTCTGCACTTCTTATTTTTTGAGTTATTGCCCTTTGTTAATTTTCATATTTCATTTTTGTCCTGGCCATTTCTCCTAAACTATATTGTTCACAAGGCGATACGTCTGCCTCGCAGAGTTCTAGTTTTATACTTGAAATACTTCATTTTAAAAACAGAAAAATCATTGATTTAAAAAAAAAAATGAATGAATTTTATTCTCCTATGATAGAGTAATATGAGGTCTATTTTCTCAGCAACTTAAAAAGTTAACCTTTATTATGCTTAATTTCTTCAATGAACTTGTCCAGTTTCCATTTTGGAACTGTCCATTATCATTTTTGGGGACATCATGATAAAAATTTGAAGTTTGTCAGTCAACAGTAGAGAGCCTGGTCTGTCAGCACGGATGTGCAGGCAGACCTGGCTCTATACTGGTGACAAGGGCAGATTAAATCACTTTCCATTCCAGCAGAGTAAGGGTGAAAAATAAGGTGAAAATGTGAATATTTCAAGTGTTTATTTTAGTTATTCTTTAAAATATCATTTAAATAGGTACGCTATTTTATTATATAATGCATGTAGATTCCTTATTTTAGATATTACAGGGAAAGACATGTTTTCAAAAAATGGGGCATTTTATAAATGAATTTAGTCTTTTTTTTAACATTTTAATCATGTTTTATTGTAACTTTTCATATGCATTAATTATACATATGTATTTCAGGTTGTTTGTTAAGTGTTAGGATCTTATATTTTACTAACTTGAAATGAATACACTCAACAGTAGATTTCATTGCAACATTGAACACTCAAAATAGTTGGGTATTTACTATTTAGAGTTTGGAAGCATTTATTTCTGAAGAAATTCTATGTCAAAATTATGCCTGTTTTAACATATATTTAAATACCAGTATTGTTAAGTCAGATTGAGATGTAATTTCTCAAATTTTTGTGTTAAAGAGATATTGTTGAATCATGAATTTTTTTTAGCAATATAGAAAACTTTGTATTTGTTAAAAAATTTTTTCAAAGTTTTGTGTTAAAAAAATTGAGATGATATTTTTCAAAGTTTTGTGTTCAAGAGATATTATTGAATTATAATTCATTTTTTTTAGCAATATAGAAAATTTGTCTTTGTTAATAAGTGATTTGCATTATTTCCTTCAAAATGTATTGAAAATAAATAAGTGCAATAACAGACATGGTGTTTATTTTGTATTTATCTTAAGCCTGCTGGTTGCACCAAAAAATATCACCCATGAGAACAGTGCCGTCCATGATGATCACGATTCAGTCTCACTGTCTGTACTTATTTTGAAAGTTTCCATGACAATGAATGCTTTTGTCAAGGATGAAGGACAAAAAAGTATGGTTTAGATACCCAAGGTGGTATGGGTTATTGTATATGAGCATCAAAAATTGTTATCAATGGGTGGCTGGTTCGATCCATGGGCAAGGTGAAACTCTGTGAGAATTTATCTCTGACATCAAGTCTAATGGTCATTTGTTTCATACCACTGATTCAGACACCATGTTTGTTTAGTATCTTGTCACTTGCAGAAAAATTGGTAATCACTGATAAGTAATCGAGAAAAGCTGGTTAGGTGTGCTGACTGTTAAGATATGACCACAATCGATCGTGTTAAATTGGCTTGAAAGCCTGAAATAATGCATGAAGGTATTAGGTTTTGATTCATAGGTAAAAACCAGTACCAGTAAAGCTAGAAAGTCAGCATATGACCTTGATTTAATGTGACTTAAAACCCAACCAAAATAACCCCCTTTTGAATTTGTTCATGAAAAAATGAATAATTTAATAACTAATAGATGTGTTTACAATGTACTAGAAGTAAAGGTAATATTCAGGTATTTTTTTCTTCTGAAATTCAAAACACTTAACATAATTTATAAACCAAGTTTACAATAATGTTCATCTGCAGACTACAAACACTAATGGTGTAAAGTTTCTTAGCTGAAGATATAAGATATTTCCATTCATGACACCAAACTGGCCTTGGTTCTGGGTTCAAGCCAACAAATTATTCCTTTACAATTTTTTTGACAACATTCATTGGTTAGAACTGGCTTCCTTATATGTTGACTTTTATGAACCTAACAAAAGGTACATTAAAAATTTTTTTGTATTTTCTGTCTTAAAATCTTTAAATCTGTAAATTAATCTTAAACAGTTTTAAGTTCAAAATGGGTCAAGTCCATTACACAAACATTATAGGATTAAACTCACTACAATGTTGGAGCAGTACCTATTGAGGCTTGCAGAAATCATGGTAACAAAGTAGAAAAATATCTATTTTTTCACCGATTCTTACATTTTTCATTCATTATCATATATAAACCGTTGTGAAGAGATGAATTAGATGTTTTAAAGTTCATTCCGTTGGGTGAAATGGTGAGATTTTAGCATTTAAATTATCCTTCACGCACCTTGTCCGGTATACTATATAGCGGAAAAGGGTATTTAGTGTGGTGCTCCAACACTTTTTGTGTTGCCTCTACGGAGTTGTGGCGACATAGAGGGATCACTTCTCGGTTGTCTGTCTGTCCTTCTGTCTGTCCGTCCGTCACAAAACTTGTCCGGACTACTCCTCATAAACTACTGGTGCAATTTCATCCAAACATTACAGGAATGATCAGTACCAAGTCTAGTTGTGCATATTGTCAGCATTTTCCGGTTCAATGATTTTTGTCAGAGTTATGGCCCTTTAATAATTTTTATTTTAAAAGTTTGTCCGGACTACTTCTCTTATACCACTAATGCAATTTCAATGAAACTTTACAGGATTGATCTGTAGCTCAAGTCCTTGCCCATATTGCACGAGTTTTCCGGTTGAATGATTTTTGGGAAGAGTTATGTCCCTATGATAAAAAGGGTTTTTTTTCTGTGTGTTGCCAGATACACAAAAGCTTGTCCGGACTACTCCTCATAAACTGCTGGTGCAATTTTATCCAAACTTTACAGGAATGATCAGTACCAAGTCTAGTTGTGCACTGTCTGTCTGTCTATCAAAAAACTTGTCCCAACATGAAATTGGCCATCATGAGACGACACATGTGATCACTGATCACTCTTGTTAATCTCACTCAACACTATATGGTGCAGGTTAATAAATGAAAACTTAAGCGGTGGCCTAATGGTTAAGGTGCCTGCCTTTCAACCCAAAGATCATGGGTCACAACCATGTTTCTTCATATGACACCGTGACTGGTTGGTTCCAGGAAGCGGACTCGAAAGTGATTAATATAAGTTGCATGAACTTGTTTCGCAATCAAGCTATAATTAATATGTTTAAACCAAAACTTTAGTTACTGATAAAAGTAGTTGTAAGGAAAACACATTTAAAGTAGTTATATAAATACAAAACCAGAAACATAGCACCATATATTATGACAATATAGTAATTTTATATACATAATACATAATGTTTTGAGAATTTGAATGAAAACTTTTCTAATATGATAATCTCTGCACTTATGATTTAAGTGTTTATGCACATAAATATGCTGAGAACATTAGTATTATTCACATATGTTAAAAGTATATTTACACATAAGCTGAGAGTATTTGTACACATATCCAGAAAATATATTTACACATATGCTGAAACTATTTGTACACATATGCTGAAAGAATAGTTGTATCTCTACACATATACCTAAAATTCATCATATGAACTTGATCAGAAAAGAGATTGTTCGAAGTAACGTAAAGTTGCCTGAAATATAAAATTACCATCTTTCTCAATATGTACACGTATTTGATCACCGTCCCCTTCTTGTTGCCAAGCATATACTTGCAGTTTATCATCGTCAAAACTTTCACCAGAGAACAAAAGTTCCATGCTTTGTAAACCTCTTTTGTCAATATCTTTAAGACTATCAAGTTTTCCATGTTTTGCATTATGATAAGCTCCGTCAAGGGCGTATCGCACATAACAACTCCAGTTTGTGTGATTATTACCGTCAAGGTCACTACGCACTACTTGTATGGTGAAAGGTTCAACCGAATCTGGTTTTGCATACTTTTCAAACTTTAGGGATGAAAATTGTTCTCCAGATTTTGCATACTTTTCCCGCCACCAGTCTGGTAATGCTTTCGGTCGACGAGTTGCCCGATCTATACTCACTACTTGGTTGATGTTGCTTAGCAACTGCTGGCCACATTTTGTCTGAACTGTTGCTATGGAGTTTAAAGAAGAGCTTCCAACATAGCCACCTTGAACTTTAATATCCAGCGGACATTTTGGAACACTTGGTTTGTACAGATTTAAGTCAATGTCCATCCTTGAAGTAATTAGGAATGTCATACGGTCTGAAGTTACCTCGGCATAATCTCTGAATGTCCGACCAGTTTCATCCAGTGGCCAATGATGAGAGAAGAACCTTGCTGATTCCAAAATCTTCATTAACTGCCAAGGTTTTGGTAGTCCATCTTAAAACGAGAGAAAATACTTCAATTATGGGAATATTTTAAGATCATTTACTGAGCATTACATAGCTACACATGAAGTTTTAAATGCAAAGATATAAGACAAAAAGCTGATTTAAAAACAACGCAATTTCCATTTCCATATTTTCAAAATGCCCCTATTTATTTCAAAATAAATATTAGATACTTAACCTGAGATCCCCAATAAGGAAGGGTGGTGGTTACTTCAGACTATAGCACCCCAGCCAAACAACTTTGGATCAGTCCCAGATGGAATGTATAACATACAAGAGCTGTCACAGGAGACAGCGAAGCTCGACTAATAAAATACTGGACGCAGTAAGGAGGACAAAACTATGAAAGAAAAATCAATTATGTATAATTATGTATTAAGTTATAGTAAAAAAATAATATTTGTTAACATAAATTCCAAGATCAAGGGGAATAATTCTAGAAATAGTCATGCTAGAGTTATGGACCTTGTCACACAACATTTGTGTAATGATAAGAAATATATATTTGAAGTTTGAAGTAGATACCTTAAAAAGAAAATAAGTTATTATATTTCTTAAAGAAAATCCTAAGTTCAAAGAGAGATAAATCTGTAAATATTGCATCAAGAGTTATGAACAATGTCACATAAAATGTAATTGTTGATAAGGAATAAGTATTTGAAATTTGAGGTAGATACCTTTAAAAATAAAAAAGTTATAATAAAAAATAACATTTTTCTAGTTAAAAAATTCTAAGTTTATGGGGAGATAATCCTTGCAATATTGGTGCTAGAGTTATGAACCTTGTCACATAAGATGTGGATGATGATAACGTAAACATATTTGAAGTATGAAGTTGATCCCTTTAGAAATAAATAAATAACAGTTAAAAAAAATATTTTTTATGGAAAATTCTAAGTTCAAAGGGAGATAAATCTGAAAATATTGGTGCTAGAGTTATGAACCTTGTCACACAAGATGGGGATGATGATAACGTAAATACATTTGAAGTATGAGGTTGATCCCTTACGAAATAAAGAAGAAACAGTAAGAAATAGTACTTTTTGAGGAAAATTCTAAGTTCAAGGGGAGATAAATCTTAAACTATTGGTGCTAGAGTTATGAACCTTGTCACATAAGATGGGGATGATGATAAGGTACATATATTTGAAGTATGAGGTTGATCCCTTAAGAAATAAGGAAGTAACAGTAAAAAATAGTATTTTTTAAGGAAAATTCTAAGTTCAAGGGGAGATAAATCTGAAAATATTGGTGCTAGAGTTATGAACCTTGTCACATATGATGTGGTTGATGATAAGGAACATACATTTGAAGTTTGAAGTTGATACCTTAAGAAATGACAAAGTTATAGTGAAAAATATTTTACTGCACCAAAACTTTAATCTAAAATCTGGACCCGGACGCCGACGCCGGGGCGAGTAGGACAGCTCTCCATATACTTCGTATAGTCGAGCTAATAAATGGGAGGCTGTATTAATAGATATCTCACAAGAAACTATTCCATTGCAACAGCACTTTGATTCAATACCTGTTTAGTAAAATAAAAAGTTATTAAGTTCTTACTTTTAGAATCAAAGTCACTATAGTGTAGACCAGAGGTGTGGACTAATGCTTCAACTTTCTCTTCATCTACTGACATGGAGTAGTTCATAAGTTTGAGATGGTCAATTCGGCGCTGGCTACAATAACAATTAAAAGTAAATCCTACAACAGAGTATAAAAAATATAAACTATGGATAAATGAACCCTATTTCCAAGATCATACATCTACTTTGATCAAACATTGTACCTTTAGGGTTACGTTGTGTATGTATAAGGAAGGAATTCTTAAAGCTGCATGTCTCGAGATGTGCCAAAATATTTCAAGAAAATCAAAACTTGAGAAAATTGTACAGAGACTATTAGAAAAGTAAAATGATTCAAGATAAAAGTAATAATTCCCATGTTATGTGTGATTAATGAACCATTTTACAGTATTTTTCACCAAATTTTTTACTGCTTTACAAACACAATAATGGTTATTTTTGCATATTTGACCTTTTTATGACCTCTTTTTTGGTAGTTTACATAGGTTGTAACTTATAAGTACTGTTTGCAATGTGTAAATAACATTATTTTCTTTGTTCACTTCACAATATTTTACTTTTAAATACATTTTTAAAATTTTCATGAAAATCATCAGGTATCTGGAGTGCTGCTTAAAAATGACCTGAGACATATTTTTTTTTTTGATACTATTATCTGATCCAATTAGGGGCACATGCCCAACATAAATGGTTCTCCCATTAAATCATGTTTCTGATAGCATCAAAAAGGATGAACCAAGATGTTAACAGAATATCATAAAGACTACAATTAAATATCTTGTATGTTGTAATTGAGGTTGTTACCACACTAACTTAAGTGAAATTTTATATATGCATATATAATTATGCTAATATAAAACTATTTTCAAACATCAACGAATATGTAAAATATCATATGTTCTGCAAAAGTTTGTGTACATTATATGTAATCATTGAAATATATACATTAATTTCTTAATGAAAAATTTGACTTAGACTTTATAGAAAATAAATTTCTAATTACCTCCCTTTATTTATAATGTTAAATTCGGTAATATCTTTATAAATAATGCTTTTTGGAACTTACAATATTGATAAATCTTAATTTCAGCATCATATTTATAATATAAAACCATAAAAAATTGTGGAAATACAAGAACTTGTAACAGAGTTATCAGTGTCCCCCGTCTCGGGCAGTTTTATATGAAGCATAAAATAATTCAAAAGATTGAGGTACGGATCTCAGGGCATTCAGTCCAAAATTACAATCAATGCTAGATCTGCAAATGCAACAATAATTTAATTAAAGAAATAAAATGAAACACAGAATTTAAAAATCTATCATGTTAAGCTTTGACCTCTAAGTGTGACCTTGACCTTGGAAGAAGGGTTGCAGGTGTTGTGCATGACACAACGTCTTATTATTGTGACTATTTGTGCCATGTATTTTCAAAATACCTTGAACTATGAAGAAGTTATAGATCCAACACAAAATATACCCTATAACAGACTATGTTAATCTTTGACCTCTACATGTGACCTTAGAGGAAGGGCCTGACATATCTTCTATTTATTGTGATTATTTGTGCAAATCATTTTTAAAATCCTTTGATCTATGAAAAAGTTTTGGACTGGACACAAAATATACCCTATAACAGACTATGAACATTTTTTTACCTCTAAGTGTGACCTTGACCTTGGAGGTAGGGACACAGATGTTACGCATGACATATCATCTAATCATTGTGACTATTGTGCCAAGTATTTTTCAATATCTCTTTAACTATGAAGAAGAAATGGAAAGGACACAAAATATACCAAATAACAGACTCTGTTAACATTTGACCTTTAAGTGTGACCTTGACATCGGAGGTAGGGGTGCAGGTGTTGTAGAGGGAACTTGACATATCGTCTTATTATTGTGACAATTTGTGCCAAGTTATTTCAAAATCCCTTGAACTGACTACTTGTGCCAAGTTATTTCAAAATCTCTTGAACTATGAAGAAGATCCAACACAAAATATCCCCTTTAACAGACTATGTTAATTTTTGACATCTAATTGTGACCTTGACCTTGGAGCTAGGGATGCAGGCGTTGCGCATGACACATCCTCTTATTATAGTGACTATTTGTGCCAAGTATTTTCAAAATCCTTTGATCTATGAAAAAGTTATGGACTGGACACAAAATAAACCCTTTAATAGACTGTATATGCTAATATTTGACCTCCAAGTGTGACCTTGACCTTGGAGGTAGGTGACTAGTTTTTGCGCACAACACATCGTCCGATTATTGTGAACAAATGTGTCAAGTATTTACAAAATTCCTTTATAGATAATAAAGAAAGTTATTACATAATGATATATAAATCAGTTTCAACTAATATCTAAGTCATCTAGAATTTTCAAATCATTTATAATTAGCTGATTACTGTACAGTAGAGTCATGCAGTCACTACTGAACATATAATTAACAGTTTAACTGTTTAATAAAAACTTTTTTTACCTGTGACCAGGGGGTCGTGTATCTTGCATGACTGTACTGAAATTATAAAATTCTCTTCTACTTTGTTTAACAACAGATATGCTTGAACAACACACTGATCTAAAATGAAACAAACGCAAAGTCACATGATTCGTTCTTGATAACATTTTACAATGTTGACACTTTTTGAATCCCACAGACGCTTGCTTTTCCTCAATACACTTTATAAGAAATCGCTCAAGACACCAGGAGTAACGAATTACGATAGGTCATTAAATAGGACGAACCTTGTACTAATTTCTAGCATAGTATTCCGTCCCAGAAATTCAGCATGTTTAAATACTTATAGGACACCATAGAGCACGAATCAATGTACAAGTCAAAAATTATGTTCCGTCCGTCTTTCTCTATTTATAACTTAGATTACATGCATGCACGTTTTTCACGCGCTGGCCGTTGCCTACCTAGGCAATAGAAAATAAATAACTCAACCAAATTTTTGGAAAAAGGGGCGGTAGGGTGGATTTTATTATATATTTTCCATTCTCGTCCTGGAATTCCGCACGAGAAGGTCAATATTTGGGTACTTGTTCTATTAGCTGTTGTTTTAACAACTGAATATTAAATACTATCCTACCTTTCTCTAAAAATAGCCACTATATATCGCTTCATATTTTGTAAAAAAGACTTTCTTAGATTTTTACATTATCGTATTAAACTGTCTATATGAGCCGCGTCACGACAAAACCAACATAATGGGTTTGCGACCAGCATGGATCCAGACCAGCATGCGCATCCGCGCAGTCTGATTAGGATCCATGTTGTTCCCTATCAGTTTCTGTACTTGTTATAGGGTTTGTAAGTGAACGGCATGGATTCTGATCAGACTGCGCGGATGCGCAGGCTGGACAGATCTGGATCCATGCGGGTCGCAAACCCATTATGTAATTTTGTCGTGACGCGGCTCATATCTTTTTATCATGGGTCTTCACTCTTCACTACCGTATTTGTATTCATACCGGGTAATTGCTGAAAATCTAGTTTGATGTATGAAATCCAGCATTGTTAATATTTCTTTCTTGCTTTTTTGTTGTTGTTTCTTGGTTTATCTTCTGTTAAAAGTATATCGGTACAATACTTGGTTCCATAATCCATTAACCAAACTTTCTTCTTTTCCTCGATATTTAATGATTTTACTTCTTCTTTCTTACATTCGCTGGTCCACAATTGCTGTAGTTTTTCACATGTTTTACCATTTGATTTCTATCAACACATTGTCTGTTTGATTAAATGTATCTTTGCGTCTGTTTGCTTTGTTCTTCATTATTTTGATATCAGATTCAAACAATCGTAAAGTTCCAAGAAAATTTTGGACTTATGATAGGCCAAAAATGGCATCAGATCGATCATAAGGTAACGTGTTACCAAAGCTGGAAAGCCTTTGACTCTGTCTCTATCAATTGAGATGTTGTCAGTTTTGATGGAAAAAATGTGTTTTTTGGCAATTTTGAGATGTCCCCTCGTTGCCATGGTAACAGGAAATTTATGATTGAGCATGCCGTTACAATGACACTTGTCCAGTCAACATCTGTGTCAAGTTTGAAGCATCCTGAACATTCATGCAACTTATGACTTGTTTTATTGACTTGTTTCATGACAAAGAAATATGAAGAGATGCAGTTGTACGATTGTTTGAATCTAATATAAAAAAATCTGAATGTATTTTTTTCTTTTATGTAACTTTTAGATGATAATATATGTCTTTAAAACTATATTAAGAGTCGTTTTAATTTCTTTGACGAACTTCTACAATATAAAAACTTCAAGCCGCCGGGCCGCCAGGCCGCCAACTTCTGAAAATTCTGAAATAAAAGTTTTCTCAAAGTCATTTTTCCTATAACACATCCTTTAAAGAACTAAGAATGACAAGAATTGTATTTAGGACTTCATTAACTGCCGTTATTTTGTTTTTAAAACACTTCTACAACTTAAAAAATTAGGCCGCTGTGCTTCACAAAAATGAAAAAATCAAAAAAAAATCTCAAAGTGATTTTTTTTCTTTTTATATATCGTTTAATTAAATAACAAGAATTGTCCTTAGAACTTCATTAAATCCCATTTCATTGTTTACATAACATTTCTACAACATTTAAACTTTAGGCCGCTGGCCCGCCAGGCCACCGACTTCACAAAAATGATATATAGAATAAAAAATCTCTCAAAGTGATATACCTTTTAAATATCAAGAATAGTTTTAAGAGTATCAATAATTTAAGTACCGTTTTAATTGTTTTTATAAATTTCCAAGACAATAAAATTTACTGCTCCCATGCAGGCCACTAGAAAACAAAAAACTTCTTTACTTTTTAAGGTATCTACTTCAATCATTACACAAGGTTCATAACTCTAGCATGACTATTTCCAGTATTATTCCCCCTTTTAATTAGGAATTTATGTAAACAAATGTGTTTTTTTACAATAACTTAAACTGTAAGTTTTCATAATTAATTTTTCTCTCATAGTTTTGTCTTCTTTACTGCGTCCAGAGCTTCGCTGTCTCCTGTGACAGCTCTTGTTATTCTTTTTACAACATTACTTCAAATTAAAAATTTATGCCACTAGGCCACCAACTTAACGCCGCCAGGCCGCTGGGCCGGCAATTTCACACCGCCAGGCCGATGGGCCGCAAACTTCACATATCTAAAATAAAAAGCTTAAAATTGAGAAACGAATTTTAAATAAATAAAAGTATTTGTGTGGCAATCCCTTTCATGTTAAGAGTAGGTTCATTGACTTATCTTTTATCTTAAAAATATAAGTTCATTCGGTTGACTTGACTATAACTATTTATTGCTTGTCAAATACAATGTAGGCCTATGCATGTTTATTATATCTTTGAATTGCTTTTAGCTATGCGCATACGTGGCTCTCTGTACCTGTATGTGAATATATGTAAGTAAAACTACAACATGATACACTATTTTGCTGTTTTTATAGTGCAAGTTTACGCGTGTAATACCTTTCAACCAACCTATATTCTTATATATAGAAGTACTAAAAGTTGAAACTACTTTTAGACCCAAAGGGCAGCATTTTAAACAGGTTATTTGGTGGTTTCCTAAGAGGATTTTGAACGTTTTTTTTTCCTTCATTAGTACGCAGTTAAAGTACTCATATGTACTTATATAGCTCCCTCAGGGTCTGTAGTTTATCATCTATCATTTTAAATTCAGTTAAAAAGTTAACCTATTTTTCGTAGCGCAATTTTTGTGTTAATTATAAAAAAGGCAAACTATTATAATGATAGAAAGAATAACCAAATAAAACCACATACCCTGTAGTTTTAATAATAGCCAGAAATCTGCCTTGCAGCTCTAGTAATACTAGTTGCTTTTGTTGCCTTTGCTAGCAATTAATTCCTAAAACTTGTAAAATAGACTTGACTACCAGTAATTATCATAATTCAATGATTTCAAAAGTATTTAACTTATATTTAGCAAAAACGCCAAAGATTCAGACTTTACTGGTGACACGGGTATGTTGTTTAAACGCTGGCACTGAAAACTTTTCATATACAGTACAGTATTCACAATATGAAAACGTGGTAACTTAATTCAGAAATAAACAAAATGGACAGATCCCCAAACAGTGATGAAAAAAAACCCCGAAAAACTTGAAATTGAAAATTAGGTTTGATTGATTCTGTTAATTAGAGGTGATGGTAACACCGCAGCACGGCATTCAGCGGTACTCCGTCTTCAGCATTCAGAGTGTTGGTGTCAATTTAACGAAGCCGAAGGACCGCTACAACAAGATATTTTTTAAATAAGATCTATTTTTCTTAAAACATTCTGACAAGAGTTGATATCTCTCCAGAGAGATCATTTCAAAAAGTAGAAGTTATGGAATTAGTAGATTTGTGTACTGATACATTATTTAAAAAATCAGTACATTTTCATGTGTTTTTTTATACTTTGAACCATTAAAATTGATTTTTTTGCTAGATTCGAAAACATCGCTAGAAACATCTGTTTTCATCTTTTAAGTACCTGAGGTCATCTATGATTATGACTTTTTTTTAATGCTTAAATATGTTTGAGGTTTTTTAGGTACATAAAAAAAGGAATGACATTTATATCTCACGTACTAAGATAGCCCTAAGAAATTAAAGTCACATAAATTATTTTTGGAAAAAAAAATAAATTCAGATTTTCTTTTTTATTCTACTGAAAAACATTAAGGAGAAAAGATGGCTTCTGTACAAATGTGAGATTTTTTTAAATTTTTTATTTTCTTAGAAATAATTTCATTATTCTGTCATAAAATTTAAAGGCACATTTTGTCTCAGAAACGAATAGTTTATTCCTTCTTCAGAAAGGGCAAGTATCAGTTTTATAACATTCTAAAATGGTTTAAGAGCATGTTAAAATCCTAAATCACATAGAAAATAACACCAAATGTGAAACTATTTGTCATAAAAGTAACTTCGTATTTTGACACAAAATCACTTTAACTGTACCCATTGTTGTAAATAATGTTGTTACCACACTTAAGTGAAATTTTATATATGTATATAATTATGCTTTTAAAACAATTTTAAAATGTAATATATGTATTGCAAATATTTCTCCACATTAAATGTAATCATAACAATATATATGCATTCATTTCTTATCAAAAAAATTGACTTAAGACTTTATAGAGAATACATTTCTTATTACCTACCTTTATAAACATGAAATGTAAATTCGGTAATAACTTTACAAAATTTGTTTTTTGGAACTTACAATACTGATAAATCTTCATTTTAGCATTATATTTATGATATAAAACCATTAAAAATGAGTTGCATGATCTTTAACCAAAAAGCAAGAGAAGATCAAGATAGTCAGGATATTTGCCACTGAGTAGCTTTTTGCAAAACAAAACTTTCTTTGCTGTTAAAAGTTCTTACCAAAACAATATAGGTGATAGTTGTTATCCAAAAAATTGAATATAATTAAAATCATTTTATGATAATTTTTAAAATCTTAATTTAAATCGTAATTAATACTAAGTCAGTGATTTAAGAGAAATAGGAATAATATATATTTCTTTGTAACTTCTTCAGAATGATCGGCGTGTTCATAGTAATCACTTGCTGTACACTCACATCCGCTGTCATCCATACCTTTGGCAACAATCGGAACCAGTATTACCGTAGAAATGGCCTTGACACTTATTACCGAAGAAATGGCCTT